CCCCATTCCTTTCCCCATGGACCTGCCTAGCCACTGAGAGGCTGTACCTCACCATGGTTCCCCACACTGAGCCTGATCATTTAAAACACTTCTTTAAAATAATATTAATAATAAAAAAAAAAAACTATTCACAATGAACATATATTTTCATTCCATAAAGTACTTGCATTTTAATGAAGAATACAGTTTCCTAGCAGCAGGTGTTAACATCAAAATGAAAAATTAGATCATTATATTGTGTATCTGCTTTCAGAAGGATAAATTGAAAATAGGATTTACTAAAAACACTGATAATATCTTGAAACCCTCATTTGTCGTTAAAGCTATATTAAATTTCATGGGGTTTCTTGTTTGCTTGAAGTATTTCAAGACTGCTTGGGGAATACACGGTGGAATGTTTTTCTAAGCTATCATAACTGTAAGTCTGTCTGAAGTGTGACCTGTTGATAGCTTTATGGAGGTGTGCTTGGATCCCTGTATCCTCCTTCATTCTGGGAAAGCTTGAAAAGCAATTACAAAGCTTCTGATTCTCAATCTTTCTGAATCAAATGCCAAAATGAAAGGTGAAATCTAAGGCCACAAGAATCTGTTCTTAAGTTCTGATTCTGCAGACCCTAAATGTATTTGCCTAATCTCTGCATGGCATAAAGGACTATGCTTGGTGTTAAAAATTAAGTAAATACACAAATCTTTCCAGGATTAGGATTATCGTTTGACACTGTTACTTATTTTCATCACTAATTTCCTTTAACTAATATTCATGATGAAGAATGGACAAGTCAAACTATGCAGGAAGTATTTCTGCTGTCGTCTGCAATTATTACTTTAGCCCAATGAGCAGAGTCACCAAAATGCACCTCCTTAAGGCCAGGTCCATAACAGGATAAATTTGATGCAGGCTGAGGAAAACTCCAGGAAAGGCAGACAAGTAAATGTTCATTAGACAAATAGTATATGCCATTAAAGAGCTGCAAGGACAGTGAAATATTATGAATTTCATTTCCTCCTCTTGATATGAGATCTTTTACTGATGGTTTTAGTTCTTCAACCTGAAAATTTTCCTGAGTTTGACTCTTTGATTTCCTAACTTTGATTCTGATTTGAATCTGAAGATTATAACCTAACAAGGCATAAACCTATAGGAATTAGAAATCTCTATGACATACTTGTACTACCTCTTATTGCCATCTGTGACGCTGTATTTCTATGAATGTGAACAACCTTGGTTTTCTGCTTTGAATGCAATCAGGTAAGAAGCACAAGTTTTGATGTCCTACGATTACAGCTTTAGCATAGGAAATCATACACTTATGTGAGGGTATGGCCATGTGTACACTACATGGACATAAAGCTTTTGAGGACATGCTTTCTTTTCAAGAGCACTGAATTTGCATCCATACAGCACATCTTGTTGGGCATTAAGAGAGTCCACAGGGCTCTTTAGAACTTATACAATTTTTTCACCTACTTGGCATGCATGGTGCTGAATTAGGGCTGCCTTCATTATATAGCTGGAAATTACTTTCTGTGGTTACTTGACTATCAGCTTCTATACCCAATTCATGGGTAGAAAAATCTGTAAAATACAGTCCTTCTTATTTGCTTTCTACATGATTTTATTCTTGCATTATATTGCATTCTCTGATATGTTCTAGAAATCCTATTCTTTCTCATAACCATACTTCATTTTTAGCCTCCTTCTGATCCAGGTTCTTTCTCCTGTACATCTCCTACTGTCCAGTGCTTTCAGCTGCAGTGCAAGGTTATTCTATTATTTTAGTTCCTTGTGCTCCTGTGGATGTCATGTTCTACAGCATCCTGTTGTGTAATTTTTTTCCTTTGTGCAACTTTATACTCAGGGATAATACTTATCACAACTATCCTTTTTTGGGGGGTGGGAGATTTGACTAGCTAGAGGATATAAATCACTAAATGCTTCAGGAACATGGGAAAACAAAGAGAAAAACAAACCTCTAAGAAACTTACTCTCACTTGTCGTGATTTAACCCCAGCTGAAAATGCAGCCTCATGCAGGTACTCACTCTTCCCCCAACCTTCCCTAATGTGTTAGGGGAGAGATTCAGAGAGTAAAAGTGAGAAAACCCAGGGTTAAGATAAACACAGTTTAATAGGGAAAGCAAAAGTCATTCATTCAAGCAAAGCATGACTAGGAATTCATTGACTATTTCCCATGGGCAGACAGGTGTTCAGCCATCCCCAGGAAAGCCAAGCCTTGTCATGTGTTACAGTGACTTGGGAAGAAGACAAGTTATATCACCTCAAATGTCCCCCTCTTCCTTTTTCCCCTAGCACTATATGCTAAGCATGATGTCATATGGTATGGAATATCACTGTGGTCAGCTGTCCCAGCTGTGTCCCCTCCCAACTCCTTGTGCACACCCATGCCCCTTGTTGGTGGTAAGAGGTGAGAACAAAAAGGCCTTGAGGGTCTGTGAACCCTGCTCTGAGGTGACTAAAATGTCCCTGAATTATCAACCCTGTATCAGTGCAAATCCAGAACACAGTCACATAGTAGCTACTGTGAAGAAAATTAACTTTATTACAGCCAAAACTGTATTGCCAAAACATTCCCCACCCCTAATTCCATAAGATTTAGCTGCTTCTCAGAAGAGCACTATTCTTGGGGAGAAATAAAGGAAAGTTATGGAGCTCATGCCGTTGATGTAAAAGCAGGGCCTGAATATGGTGAGTACAAGTAAATTCTCTTTAGCACTAGCTCTTGGCATTTCATTGAACTGGTTCCTTACCCATCCTGTCATTCTTATTATTAATCTCTGTATTAGTTGGTTTACTAAAAAGATTTTGTAGTCTACTAAATACTTCAGTGAAGGCTAGAAAGATGATGCTTCCTCTAAGTCTTCTCTATAGAAAACCAATTATCCATAAAATTTACCAGCTCACAGAGCCTGGCACACTGTGTTTTTGGTAACTATCACCTTTTCAGTTTGTTTTCATATCTTCAGGTATTCATCCTTCAAAATATATATGTTCTCAGAACATGTAACTTTAGTAAACTTTAGCCCCAGGTAGAATTTTGTCTTAAAGGCCATACATAGAAATATAAATCTCAGGTGGTTTTATTAAAGTTTTGTATACTGTGCAATGTGGGTTGTATTTTGTGCTCCTCAAATACATACCTAGTCAAATACACATCCTGGGTGAGCAGAGTCTGCTTATTTCTTGTCTTCCTTCTGCTTCTTTGGTTTGGTATTTAAAACTGTCTTAATGTTTACCTGCTTAAAAGGGTGAAAGAAGAGGGTAGAAAAACACAAATTTCCAAATCTAATCTGACACAATACTGTTTTACAGTAGTCTTGTAGTTATTTGATTACTGTCACAACTATTTAATATACAAATGAAGAGCTGCATGCAGTTGAGGGATACAATACTGTGTGTTTCACAGACACATTAATCAGACAACTCACTAAAATGCCTTGCAGAAGATAGGGTTTTGGTTTTGCATTTTGGGTTTTTTGTTGTTGTTATTGTTTGTGGTGGTGGTTTTTTTTTTTTTTTTTAGTGTTTTGTTGCAGAACTCTCTGTATTGTGGAACAGCAGCTGGTAACAGGCTGTAGGAAAGTGCTGTCTGGTAAAAAATAATCTAATTTATCTACACTTTGTTGGAGAGGGGAAAAAAGAAGGTAGCCAGCACTTCATCCACACATCATCCCCACGCCGTATTTTTAAGAGACGGTGGGTATATTCGGATTTATTATCCCACCCCAGAAGATTACTTGTCTATGACCAAACCACATATATAGATGTAGGGATCGCAGTATCTCCACCGATCCTGTTTCTCCCAACTGCCCCTGGAGAGGCCCCTGGAGAGCACTGTTTGTTCATCCGTCTCTTTGTACGCTATGGACTTGGCAGTGCTGGTTTAACGCTTGGACTTGACGATCTTAGATCTTTTCCAACCTAAACCACTCTAAGATTTACCACTACCAGGTGCGGTGACTGCCGGAGCCGAGTCCCTCTCCCCGGAGCCCATTCCCAGCTCACACCCGCGAGGGACAGCAGGAGCTGCCGGGCTCTCCTGGCACAATGGCGCTGCCAGGAAGGGAAACCCCTTCCCCCAGCACGGCTGGTGCACGGACAAGGCGGAGATCGAGCAGCCCGAGAGACCCGCAGCCCGCGGCTGGGGCGGCGGGACGGGAACAGGCGCACCGGGCACCGCCCGGCTCCCGCTGCCAGGGGGCACCCAGCCGCTGCCAGAGCGACTCCCTGAGGAGCGGGGTCCTGGCTGCTTCCCCTGCCGCCGGAGCCCGCTCCGACCCCGGCACACCGCGGGCGGCGAACAATGGCCCGCGACCGGCCCCGGGCTGCCCCGGCCGCCACACGGCCGGGCAGCTCCGGGCCCGCCCCGCCGCTCGGCGGCCGCCGCTCCCGCCCCTCCCCGCCTCGGCCGCCCGAGTCCCTTGAACTTTCCCCGGGCGCCCGCAACAAGCGGCCCACGCCGGGCTGCCGCGGCCGCCGCTGCCCGCACAGCCCCCTGCCGCTTCCGCCAAGTTCCCCTCAAGCACAGCCTGCTCTGGAAGCCTCTAAAATCCCTGCAAACCGCCCGCCCGGGGACCCCCGGCACGGCGCCTGAGGAAAGCCCGCCGCCGCCCCCGCTCCTCTCCCGTTCACACCTCGCACAGCTCCCGCCCTCCCTCGCACGCCCACCCTGTTCCCTCTGCCCACCCCGCCCCGGTCCGCGAACGCCCACCCCCGGCCGCTGCCCCTTCCCCAGAGCCAGACCCGGGCAGAGCCCTCCGCTGCCGCCGGCTCCCAGCCCTGGGGCCGCGCCGACCTTTCCGCGCTACTTCCCGCCGCCGAAGAGAAGCCCCTCCACAAAGGAGCGAGGCAGCAGGAGGCGGGGGATACACGCACGCCCGGCCGCTCCGTCCGGATGCGGTGAGCCCCAGGCTCGCCTCCGGGGCCGCGCCAGTGCGGGAGGGAAGAAGCGGAGCAGCGGCGGCGGCTCTCCGGCTGCCACCATGGGCTGCTGCACGGGGCGCTGCACGCTGATCTTCCTCTGCTCGCTGCAGCTGGTGAGTGCTGGGGCACGCTTCGGCTTCGCGGGGGGTGGGCAGGGACGGGCGCTGTCTCCCCCGCCCCGGGTACGGCCGCCGGGGGCGCGGAGCGGCGCTGGCCCGGCCGCGGAGCTGTCCGCTCCCGCCGCCCCGACGGCGCGCCCGCCCCGCGCCCCCGCGCCCCGACCCGTAAGTTTCGCGGCGCGACGCGGCGTGGGACCAGAGCGGCCCCGTGGCTGGGGGACGGAGAGGACCGGCGACCTGAGGCGGGTGCCGTGGCGCCCGGGCAGCTGTCAGCGCTCCCTGCCTCAGGGAGAGCGGCTCCTCCGCCCTGGTGTCGCTTCGAGAAGGTGTCAGTCCCCGCTGGTTCCGGGCAGGGGCTCTCCCCGTCTGCTCAAAGTAGAGGCCGAGGGGAAGAATGAGGCTGGCGGTGCCCCCGGTCAGTGCCCGCGGGTCGGCGGTGCGGCCGGACACTGCTGGGCGCTGCCGGCGCCGTGGGAAGATGCGGGGATCGGGATCGCCGCCTCTTTCTTTTTCTATTTTTCTTAACCTGTGTAAAAGCGGCGTGTGCCGGCCCTCTCCCGTGACTTTTCTTGGGGTTCCTTTCCTCTGCTTAAGTATTCCTCAGCGTGGATTTGAAACAACAGAACGGTGCCGCTTCTTCTCTTTGTTTAGTGGAGTTGGCGTATTTATTTTAGAGAAGAGAGTTGTTGAGATAAATCACCGCCAAACAACAATAATCCTTCATCTGGCTCATTAGCAGGATAATAAAATAATGCTCTCCCCTTAACGGTAGTCCCTGGTCCCAAGAGTGTTTTAAAAGATTTTTCTATTTTCTAGTGACTCAATGTCATAATTTTGCCACATGATCTCTCTTAAAATGAGTGGAGTTCCTTGTGTGTGTGTGTCTGTAAAGAAGAAAAGTGGGATGCATTTAGTGGGGGGGGGGGGGGGGGGGGGTGGGGGGGCGGGGGAGAGTTGTTTGTTTGTATTCGTAATCCTTTGCGATCTATTTTTCCCTTACAGCACTTTGAAATCACTTCTGTTTCAGAGGTAATACTCCAGAAGTAATTGTACATCTTGCGTTTATTTGAAAATCCTCTTTCAGTTTCAAGGCTTTGTGCCAGCTTCTTAGCCTGTGTAAACTGGTGTGTCTCCATTGTTTCCAGTGTGAGCCTGGACCTTATTCACATGTGAATAGAGTGATGGACTTAGTGTGGTATAAGTAACTCAATGGCAGAACCTTGCCCAGAAACAGAGGAGGCATATGATTTGCACTCCTAGTGTAAGGAAAGTGTATACATTGCCATTATTTTTTATTTCTTGTTTTGTATCAGTTTTGTGCTAACGACTGCAGCAGAATTGCTCCTGATTTACATCATGCATGTGGGAGGGGAAACAAACCCTATTTCTTCAAATATATCTCTTTGCCAGTTATGAGGGTTATAATAACTGTATTTACTATTCTGTGGAATTACTGGGAGTCTATAAAAATTGAAGTAAAGTGTGAATGGCCACCATAATCTGTAGAGAAATGCATGAAAAGTCTTTCAGGAAAGAGTCATGTTTTATAAAAGACCTATCAGATGATATAACAACTTTCAAAAATTACTTCAATGCATAGTTTTTTCTGCTGTTCTTACATGTTTTATAGTGTTCCCCTGTCATATCTATGTCTTTCAGGTGCTGATAAATATCTGTATAGCAAAATGCTGTCATTTTAATTTATTTTCATTTAAAAATAGAAGTCTTTCTTTATATTCAAGAAGTAATCTAGTAGATACTACGTCCTGGTTCCAACCAAGACTGGATTAATTTTTTTTGCAGTAGTCTGAAGGGGACATAGCTAGGACCTGGAAGTTATCCTGTACTACCTCACATCATTGCCAAGGGTGGAGGAAAATGACTCTCTTCCAGGGAGAATGGGCTCCTTCTGTTTGGGGTAGTGTGGCACCAGTCCCAAGCTGGAGAGAGCAGTGGGGTGACCCTGGTTCCAAGCCAGGGGGAGCTTGGCTGCATGGCTGTGGTCTGCATGGCTGAGGGTGAGCATTTTTCATGTGAATCACTCTCTCTTCAGCACACTTTTGTTATCAATATTGTTGATGTTACTGTTCCTTTACTTATCTCATTGCTGTTTCCAGCAAATTGTTCTTCTCTCAGCCCATGATCTTTACTTTTTGTGCCTCTAATTCTCCTCTCCAGGCACCTGTAGGGGGACGGGAGAGGGGGTGAGGGAGGAGAGAGTGGCAGCATGATCTGGGAAGTATCAGTGGGAGAACTAAATTTGGGAGTATGATTCCTGAACCACAACACATGAACTTAAAGCTCAGATGCTGTCCATGATCTCAGTCACCACAGAGAGTTTAAATCTTTTTCTGATATCTTATAGGTGATGAATATAAAACATATGCAGCAAAACTGCATCTCTGGACATTAGTCTCATTGAGATGTATTTTACTTTGCATCCACTTATGAAGGGGTGAAATAGATATTAGTGATTGTAGACAATATTTAGGTTAAATCTTGCAAAATCCAAGCACTTGTAGTGCTAACTTGTGGAATTTCAGAAGTACTGGTGATTTATATGACTTGAGGAAAAGCTTTAAAAAGTAAACATATGGGCACATATTTAAAAAAATAAGTTGTTTACGTTGGTCGTGTTCTGGTTATGTCCGATTAACGTTTAGATATTACCTGAGAAATAAGTATCTAACTAAATACAGCTGGCAACACTTTTCATAGCATCTGTGTACTACGTAGATTCTCTTCTGTATAAGAGGGAAAGTAAAAAAGCCAAATCCCTGGAGACATGTGCAAAAACAAGATTTGCTTATCGTTCTAAAGAAGAATGCACTATTCAGTGTCCTTAAGGCAAAGTTTCTTGATTCTTTAAAACTTTAGTCTTCTCTGACCATTGCCTTCTTTATCCCAGCAACATATAAACAGTCGAGGCAAAAGTGAAGAGGAAAACTGTTATTGCATTACTGTGAGTAAAATATCATTTCTCTAATGTTAACCCACTAAGTGTGTTAACTGCAAGAAGATTTGCTTGTAATTTTCAGTGCTGTTTGTTAGGGGATTTTTAACATAAAATGGGAATAATAATGATTTTCAGTTGTGCTTTAATCCACGAAAGTGGATTGGTTTTTGGCTGGCACCTTGTCCTTTTTTATAATGAACACATTTAAATATTTCATTCAGTAATCCTAAGGACAGTCTGTAAATAGTCTTCTGTCATTTAATAATAATAACTTCATTTGTAAATGGGAATCCATATTATTATGTGTAATATAGAAAAAAATCATGGAAAAAAATCATTGAGATGGAAGTGTAGGTGGCACAAGTTCAGGAAAAGTTCTTCGTCACTTTCAGAGTTTTACTGTATCCCTTCAAGTGGATTCTGCTTCTGAAAACCAAGGAAATTTTGTGTAAGGAGAACTGTACCTTGCCCCACTGCCCCTCCTTGATCTTTCACTGTTTTGCTCTTCCTGACTGAAGCATTGTCATATGCCATTGCCAAAGGTGTCTGAGCAAAGAACAATGAAGTGTATGTGTACCTTTTTATGCATAAATATGTCATTAGGATTATTAGGAGCTATGTATACATTGGAAAAATATGTCATAAGGATATATAAATCCTTTGGATTGCAGCCATAATTCTTACTCATGCCACTAGAAGTCTGAGACATTGGCCTTGTCTGTACTAGAAAATTAAACCAGCTGGCAGAGATTGTGCCTGTGCTATTGCAGACATCATGCCATAAAACACTGAAAGATGAAAATGTTTGGCAAAGAAAACAAATTCAGAAAGTATTAAATTCTGGAAGGGGTAAATTGACAATGAATTGCAGCAAGATTTAGCTGTGTGAATCCAATTGGTGTTAATAAATGTCACACAGTGAAAACCTTCATGCTGCTTTGAAAATGCATTTCTGAGAAACTGCCTTTGCAGGATAATGTTGTTTCAACACTTACAATAAGTGGAAGTTTTTGGGATGTAGAAAAATATAGATAAACAAACACAAAGATCTCTAAATACAGGGATGGTGAATGGGATTTTCAAAGTGAAGGGATGGTTGATGGAAAGTGTATAACTAAGTCCCTTCATGACTTTGACAGTCTCATTTCATGTGTTTATCCTTGGGCTCCTCTGCACTGTGTTCATTCTGTAGGTCCTGATTTAGAAGTGTATGGTTTATCCAGTTATAGCTAGTGTAAAATAGGCTGTTCCCTACTTAACCTGTTATTTTCCAAATAATGTAAGTGTCAGCAGGCCACACGGAAAAATTATTCCAGTGGAAACACAACTTCTATGTACTAATGTTTTGACTAGTGTTTGTTTGGGAAGTGCAGTCGGTCATTTTAACAACCTAATCCCTTTCAATATTCAGAAGATTTATATTTATGGTTGCTATTACATTACATTAATTGTAGTGATGTATGTAAATCCTTATGTTTGGAGTTGAGACTGTATTCATTAGAATGAACAATACTGTTTCATCATTTGTTGCTGGACATCATAGAATTTTAGCAGTTATGTGGGGGAAGTGATATATGTATATATCATGCATAGATTTTCATCTCATTTTTAAATACTTTATAGAGCTGGATACTCTATGACTTTAACTCTTGATGCGTGTATGTTAGAACTGACAGATACCAGTTTTTCAGTTAACAGCTCAGGGATTCAAGGGAATTGATAAATTTGAGAAAGTAAAATCTTTGAACCAATAAATTGCTTCACTTTTTACGTTGATAAAAGAATCACCAGCCCATTGATCTGGAGATGAAGCATCTGTCCACTGATAAAAGAGGAGGAAGTTGTGGGAGTGCCTATTGTGCTGGCAAGGGTGGAGAAAGCTTGGGCTTTTAGCACTGAACAATGCCCTGGTTGCAGATGTTGCACTTTCTGTTATAACAGCTGAGGTGGGCATGGTGTTTTCCCCTGATAACTTGTATGACGTTCCCAAAACATGCAACCATTGCTGGTGGCTAATACCTAAGAGGCTGATACACGT